TCCCGGAGGTGCATGAGGAGCTCAACAGGTCGTGGACGGCACCTTTTTACTGCCGGAAACTGATTTGCTGGATCCTCCTCCCTCACCACCCTCGATGGAGGGGCAGCTAGGGGGTTACAAAGGGCCCCCCGGTGGAGCGGTCGGTTGCGATGCAGTTGTGTCCTAATACCGTCTCCAACGGGCAGGGAGAACCGTGCCTCCCCTCCCGGGTCTGTAGGTACTCGACTGGCCAGCGACGCCTATACGACCTGTGGAGAAGCTCCCTCCGACTTACACGCTATGGCGTGATTGTATGTGCACCAGGCCAAGGCACTGAGGGACATGCACGAGGGGGTTGCGAGCTCACTCAACTAGAGGTGTTGCATCCTCCTGGGCGCTGGCTCGTGGCGCCTCGCTGACAGATATCTGTAGGGCTGCGGGCTGGGCGACCCCTAACACATTCGCTAGATTCTATAGCCTTCGTGTGGAGCCGGTATCCTCCTGTGTTCTCACCTCAAACGGGTAGAAGCACTGAGGGGCCCCGGCTTCGGGTCGGCTTGCAAAACCACTCCAGAGAGTCCATACAGTAGACCCTGTTGAGTTCCTCCGTCCCCTCGGCAGCCAGACGTGGCGGAGCGTCCGGCGCCAGGCCTTCACTCGCTGAATCCTCGAGAACCGGTAGAAGGCTGGGTTCCATATGTAAGACCCAAGTGGATCTCATATGTGTAAAGTCCATGGTATAGCCTTGAGCCCGTGTTTCCCCGGCAGACTTCTGCCATTCCAAGAGGGTTCAATCACCTCCATTCTTCCATATGCACCTAAGGGATGTCCATATGTGTATTGCTTCCGAAACCTCCTTCAGGAAGGTTCGAGCTTCCGTAACGTCCCTGGTCCAAGTGGAACGGGTACGTTTACCCAGTGTTATCCAGTCTTACTCAGTGGGTAGTGCCATAGTAGCAGTAGCTGGTCCTCTTGTGCACGCCCTGGCCTGCGCCAAAAAATAGGGGCGCAGGTGGCTTCCACAGGACACTGGAAGGGGCGGTAGCTGTGGCCTTTTGGTAGGATCCCAATTTCGTCGGTCATCCGACGTGATGTCGGGAGTGACCGACTGAAAGGGAATGTCTTGGTTACTTATGGTAACCCTCGTTATGTGCATTGGCTCGTTTAGTTTACACTCGAAGTAGATTGGTCCCTCTAAGCGAGATCCCAATTTCGTCGGTCATCCGACGTGATGTCTCCGTTCCCTCCTTCAGGGAACGAGGGTTACCATGCGTAACCGAGACGTTTTATAGAAAGAGATTTCAACAGTGTCTCAAACTATGCTCAATGTCTGCAATCAAAGGTCAGAGACCTCATTAGGAACTCAAATTTTTCACATTAAGTTTTGTCACTAACTGACTCGTACTGTTTGTGTCTGCTTGTATTTCTTCTATTGAGAAAAATGTTTGAGACAAAGTTGAAACTTTGATAAAACATATTTGAAAACTCAATGAAAACAGATCTGAACATGAACTCAAATGCTTCTGAATAAAACTTTGAGGTTGAAAACTCTGTGAAAGCCAAAGCCTGCAATCAAAAGTCATACATCTCAATATGAACTCAAATCTTTCTCAGAACTTTGAGACAAACATGAGAACCCTATAAAAACCAAAGTCTGAAATCGAGTCAAATCTCAATATGAACTCAAATATTTCTCATTACATTTTTTAAAGAAAGTTGAGAACCGTATGCAAACCAAAGCCTGTTATCAAATCAGATCTCAGTCTGAATTCAAATATTTCTCAATACATTTTTGAGACAAAATTGAAAGTTCTAAACCAAAACCTGCAATCACGTCAAGCGTATCAATATGTACTCAAATATTTCTCAGAACTTTGAGACAAAGAACACTATAAAAGGGTTGAAATCGAGTCAAATCTCAATATGAACTTAAATATTCCTCATTATATTTTTTAAACAAAGTTGAGAACTTTATATATATATATATATATATATATATATACAGTGGGGCAAAAAAGTATTTAGTCAGCCACCAATTGTGCAAGTTCTCCCACTTAAAAAGATGAGAGAGGCCTGTAATTTTCATCATACAATGATCCCAAACACACCGCCTGGGCAACGAAGGAGTGGCTTCGTAAGAAGCATTTCAAGGTCCTGGAGTGGCCTAGCCCGTCTCCCGATCTCAACCCCATAGAAAATCTTTGGAGGGAGTTGAAAATCTGTGTTGCCCAGCGACAGCCCCAAAACATTACTGCTCTAGAGGAGATCTGCATGGAGGAATGGGCCAAAATACCAGCAACAGTGTGTGAAAACCTTGTGAAGACTTACAGAAAACGTTTGACCTCTGTCATTGCCAACAAAGGGTATATAACAAAGTATTGAGATGAAATTTTGTTATTGACCAAATACTTATTTTCCACTATAATTTGCAAATAAATTCTTTAAAAATCCTACAATGTGATTTTCCGGATTTTTTTTTCTCATTTTGTCTCTCATAGTTGAGGTATACCTATGATGAAAATTACAGGCCTCTCTCATCTTTTTAAGTGGGAGAACTTGCACAATTGGTGGCTGACTAAAATACATTTTTCCCCCACTGTGTGTGTATATATATATATATAAAAGACTGCAATCAAACCGGATCTCATTATGAAATAAAATATTTCTCAATAAATTTTTGAGGAAAAATTGAGAACTTAAAAAACAAAGCCTCTCAATATTAACTCAGATATTTAGCAAATGTGTGAGACAAAGTTGAGAACTCCATAAAAAGCAAAGCCTGCAATCGAGTCAGAACTCAATATGAACACAGGAATGTCTCATATTTCTGAGACACAATTGAGAGCTCTAAACCAAAATCTGCAATCAAGGCTAATATCTCAATATGAACTCACATATTTCTCAAATTTGAGACAAAACTAAATATGTAGTTTGAGACCTATATATATATATATATTATATACAGTTTTCCCCACATCGATATAAGCAATAATAAGGATGCTTGTTTATAATAAATACATAACTATATATCCAGTTGCATGACAAGAGAAGTAAACTGAAGAAGGAAAAACCAAAGCAATCATTTTTTTACTTAAATAAATCAGAGGACAAAAGTTCAAAATAAATAATAACAATAAAATGAATGAATGGATAAATAAATAAACAAATACATTTGCATGACAAGAAACGTAAATTGAAGCAGGCAGCAGTCAGAACACAAACTCAGCTTAATATCAGAATCAAAAACAAGCGCATTTGTTAAATGTCAACATTTGAAGTGAATTGTGTAATTCTATTTGGGTCACAGAATCTGTTGTGACAGAAACAGCATGAGAGCTTGATCCAGAGAGATTCAGAGATTTTAGGAGGTTACCGTGTGTAATAAGGTCCAGCCTTATGTTATTATATTATTTAAATAATATTTTGAACTAGGTTTTATTTTAATATTTTCAGTTTTCGTTTTAGTTACATTTAAGTTGAATTTTTAGTTATTTTGTTTTTGTAATTTTTATAATAATTTGTCAAATATTTTTTTATTATTTTTTTATTTTTTATTTTAATTTTAGTGCTTGAACGTCGACTTATTTTAGTTAATGTTTTTTGTTTAGTTTTACGTTTTTCATTTTATATTTTATTATGGCTTTATATTTTAATCTTCATAAACGATAATAACCCTGCACCCTCAAGTCTCTATGTCATATTCAATGTTTTATCATCGCTCACTAAAGTCCCAGCCCTTTTCTCCCCACCTCACCCGAGCCACAATAAACTGCAGTATGCTCATATTCTCCTAACACAACGAGGGTTGCCCTCTCTGCAGGAAAGCCAAGGACCCACAGAGGAATAAATCACAGCTCGGCCACCAGCGTGGCATTTCAATATGTGAGATGAGACGCTCTATCAGCTGGCCTTGAATCCACAGCACCATCCACGAGCTACACGTCCTGTTCAGAGGGGTTAAAAAAACAAGCGTGACGCATTTAATCCAGTTTCACGCTGAAAATGATGAGTGGATTCCACCTGAGCCTGGCACATTTAACCTAATTGGGCCGGTTTGTGGACTCATTGATGTGACTTTTGGACTAATTGTGCAGCTTCAATGCATTTTTTCATGTTGCATTTCTAAAATGCAAACTGTACATGTGACTGCAAAGACGCTAACATTCATTCCCAGCACCTCAGGCAGAGAAAATAATAAGCTGTGCTCTCTGGACGCGGTTAAGCGTGGCGAGTGCCGTCAGGTTTAAAGGGCAGAGGAAGCCGTGCTGGTTTGTTGTGGTTCTGCTGTGGCAGGTGGAGCTCACCTGAGGATGAGGAGGATACATGAGGTGTGTGAGAGCAGCAGGGGGTGGAGCCTAACACACACACACTTCCCATCACCTGCGCTGACTCATCCTGCAATTATCCTGAAATAAACAGGTTATTTGAAATCATGGAACTGTGACTCAAGCGTTTCTGGAAGAATCTGCTGCAATTAGAGTTTAGACTGAAGAGGCTTTAAAGCTTTTATGTCTTACAGTTTTTCTCAGTCGCTTTGGTGCATTTCTCACATCACTATTTACATTTGCACAACAGTTAGTTCAACCTCCACAACATTTAGTCATTTGTGCACATCATAGTAGCAGTTTCTCATTCCTTCGAACAAATTGCAAATGATTTTGGACATGCATCAATTGCTTTCATACAACTCTCTGCTGTTTTATAACATTATCATTTGCTTATGTCATGTCAGTCAAAATTAACTATACTTGTGAATGCGGAATAGTCATTCCATATAAAACTAATAGTCCTCATTTCATTGCTTGAGTCATTACATACAAAAATTGTTCAACTAGTTGTCAAAATCTGTCAAGCTAATTTTACAAATTTTTTTAAATCTTTTTTTTCCTGAAAATGTCTCCTAAATTGAACAATTTCTCTCAGGTGAATCTCAACTTTCACTGATGAGAAGGGGTGTGTGAAGCATTAGTTGCAACCACTGATAAGCCACTTCTCTACAGTCATTGTCAGAGCTGAATCCCATAAACCCCCACTTTACAAGCATATATGAACCAAGCAGGACATAGTGTGTACTATTTCTACAATACTGTGACACAGAAATGGAAGGTCAGCCTCGTGGAAGAGGGGTGAGGGGACAAAACGGGGGAAGAGGAAGAAGAGGCCAAGTACATAGGCGGATCCCTGATGAAATCAGGG